GAATTGTTACAATGATCACAATTAAAAGCAGTCCTCGCGTCATTTGATGTTCCTACACCCTCCCCAGATATCGCAGCTTTATCGACAGGGAGGATGTACTAAGTTCGCAGCTCAAAAATACGAGAGGATCACGCCACCCACTCGTAAAGAGGATGTCGCCCCGACCGCATGGCGGTCATAACTGCTTTGGTTTGGCCTTTAAAGGCTGAGCCCGCTTTCAAATAATGAATTAGAGCTCATATAATACGTGATCCATGTCGAATGAAAAAAAGCAGAAAAAATCGATGGGAAATCCTCACAGAACCCTGTGCCTTGCCATGTGGGGCGGGGCGCCGCCTGCCACACTAGGCGAACGGCACACTTCTCCTCCCCTTTAAAGACACATGGTACGCTCATACACATTGAGGGTGTATGAGACTACCAGCCCCCCAGATGTCGATATGTCGTGGTCCCCCCGCCCAAACATGCCCAGGAATGGAGATACAGGGCCGTGAAACACGCTAATTCTTCCATGCTCCGCCCACTGCTTTAACGGGCGCAGATTCCTCGCTCGTCGGCCTGAACATCCGTCGTAAGCGCGCCTGTCGCGTGCGGCTCCTTGGCACTTTGCCAAGTCCTTTAATTGCGCTCTCAAATCCAAGTAAAACGCGATTTCCTGATGCGGATAACATTGGAGGTGCTACAAAATAAGAGCAGAAGACGATGACAAGGGGCAGAACTCAAGAGCAACTCGGCTGCATCTGCAGTATCCACAAAGGCAATACTACCACTCGCACATTGCCACAAAACATGAAAATAAAAACAGCCCAAGCGTCCCACTCGTTTGTTCTAAGTATTTCTATGGCTTTGGCGCCGGATCGTAGAAATTTACAGGCCAGTTTATCTAATTTGCCTTTCCTTGATTTTTTCATTTTTGTTTTGTTTACATTTACATCGTGGTGCTTCATTTCTAGCCTGTGTCATCTTCATCTCCTTGTACATGGATTTTGAAGCATGAGCAACACCTCAAATTTTATTCGCATCAGGTTGCTCCTTGTATTAAACTACGAAGTATCGTTTTATTTTCTATAGTTTCGTGGAAAAATACGTGGCTCGAGGATGTTGCAGAAGTGGCACAGTTGCTTTTGAGTTCTGCCCCTTGTCATCGTCTTCTGCTCTTATTTTGTAGCACCTCCAATGTTATCCGCATCAGGAAATGCGTTTTACTTGTATTTGAGCGCAATTAAAGGACTTGGCAAAGTGCCAAGGAGCCGCACGCGACAGGCGCGCTTACGACGGATGTTATGAACGGCGGGAATCTGCGCCGTAAAAAGGCAGTGGGCGGAGCATGGAAGAATTAGCGTGTTTCACGGCCCTGTATCTCCATTCCTGGGCATGTTTGGGCGGGGGGACCACGACACATCGACATCTGGGGGGCTGATAGTCTCATACACCCTCAATGTGTATGAGCGTACTATGTGTCTTTAAGGCAACCTAATATTAGGTTGTCCGGAAAGTTCTCAGCGTTTTGGGTGTTTTTAAACGATCGTAACTTTTTTAATACTCATCGGATTTAATCGAAATAGGCACCATTCGAATCAGCACACTTTTGCCAATGTGACAGCAGTCGAGAAATCCCATCAAAGTGAAAAACTGGGTGGTCGAAAATTCACGAAATCCACTAAGGCTTTTTTGCCTGGTCCTGATTGATGAAGTATTTTCCAGCAAGGGAGTTCTGAAAATGTTAGAAAGGTGATAGTCGGTTGGCGAAAGGTCTGGAGGAATATGGGGTTGAGGTAGAACTACCATTCGTTCAAATTTTCATGGATATGTGAGCTATTGTGAAACGCGGCATGGCAGGCGTTTCATGGCAGAAGGAATCGGACCCTTTCTTTTGATAAGTGTTGGCTGCATCTGACAAAATTTTCGGTACAATACGTCGATTTCTTCAAGTAGGGTTCTGCTGTGATGGTTTGGCCTGGTGTTAAAAACTTATAGTGGATCACACCAGCCGATGACCACCAAGCCGTGACCAGAATCTTTTTTTCGTGAGGGTTCGGCTTTAAAAATTACCTCGGTGGTCCGTCGAAATCCAACCACTGTCCGGAACGTCTCCTGTTATCATACATGACCCATTTTTCATCACAGGTGACAATTCGGCCCAAAAACAGGTCGTTTCTGCTGCGCAAAAGCAATGCAGAAGGAACCTCGAGACGTGCCGATTCCTGCCGGTCACTCCGATTGTGGGGCACCCAATTGTCGAGTTTTTTCACCTTCCCAATGCGTTCCAGACCATCTGCAACAGTGGATTTGCCAAGGCCTAGCTCTTCTGCTATCTCTCGAACTGTTTGGGATGGGTCAGCCTCCAAAATCCCCCTAAAATCCTCGTCAGATATTGCTTAGGTCGACCGCTATGAGGTTCATCTTCAACGGCTCGCAATTCTCAGAACAAATTTGTTGAAGCCACTTGCCGCACAAGTGCCTTCCCTCTACGCAGCTATGGGGCCCCACACTGAATTAATTTGTCGAAGCTGTTCTGGCGGCTTGCCCAATTTATGGTCGTATAAAAAATTCCGTCCGAAAGTGTTCTTTTCAAATCTGAAAAAATCTTGAAAAGCGGGTTAATCAAGCTTATGGTGAATATCGGCAATTATAAAATCCATCAGAGTAGCGGCCAAGAATTTTCTCTTAAGGATATCGCTAACTGAGAAGGCAAAGCAGAATGAGTTTTTAGGAGGCAGCAGTGAATGTAACAAAAAGTAGGTGCACAAAACGTGCCGACTTTCCGGAACCCTATATATATACCTGGCATCTCTCATAAGGAGAGCTATGATATCCAAAGAGGGAACGGAACGTGGGCGCTGCCGTTGAACATTGCAACTTTACGAGAAGATCACAGTTGGAAGACAGGCGTAGTAAAGGAGTTTCCTGGGCGCTAGTGAGTCATATAAAGAGATATAAGATATTTATCACCGTTTTCTTTTTTGCATTTCTTTTCTGAATTAGGTGAACGAAGTTGATTTCTACATACACTCCTCATCATTACGGACTGTCGGGGCGGGTCAGTGCGGCTGCGTTTTCCGCGGTGCCAAAGTCTTTCTGCACCAGTTGTTGAAGCGAGCAAATGACATGACAGCATTATATCCTTCGTATTACTCGTTTTCTACCCACTTTTTGTCGCATACGCGTTTCAACGAAAAGGCTGAGAACGGCTTCAAACAGTGTGCGCACTCCTACTGGCTGATACGCACCGACAGTCCGTAATGAAAAGGAGAGTAACCGTATCATTCATTGAAATATGTGGTCGTTCTGACAACAAGGATGGTGAGCGCCAGGGGGTAGTGGCGAAGCCCGACTGTAGGCTGATACATGAGCAGAAAACAATTAAAGAGGCAAAGTTTTATCAGTGTCAAAATATAACTTGGCTTTCGAATACTCTACCAATTTGAAAACTACACAACGCAACAAAGTTTTGTTAAGAGTTTGCCCTGATCACTAGTAAGTATGATACAGCAGAGATTAGCAATGAACAACCCGATGTACATCACTTGAAGCACACTTACTCAAGGCCTACTGTACATAGCCAAAATGCAAAGCAATTCGCTGCACATTGTAAAACTCACAGAAAGGGAACAATCCACAGGACCTGCAGACTCTATGTACTGAGCCGAGTCTTCTAAAAGTTCCTCTCATGTATATTTAAACGAAGGCGTGAACCCGAAGGAGACAATGAACTGTACTAGTTTTAAACGCCCGCATTTAGTATAGTTCTGGTGTTAAAGTTATAACAGTAAAGAAATAGGAACTGGGAAGTATCTATAAAGTCTTTTCCTGGTTTCAGAACGATACTTCAAACTGAATGATTAATTAGTTGCGATTGTAGAACGAACTGTAGAGGTCCACGTTGGCTTGCAGAAGAAGAAGCCCAGGTGCAATAGAAACATGAGTAGCGGAGAGTCGAAGGGCTTGGCTAAAATAACGACTTACTCGACATGAAAACACGTTGTTCTAAGATATTGACCAGTTTGGCTAGAAAATTTTGTATCACAGTCTTGATCTGAATTGTATTAGTTAGCGCCAGAAATCTGCCCATTCATCAGAGCACATCACGGGGTTGAGGAATTTGCTTGGATTCATTAGACCCTCCCCCAGGAGGTGGCTTCGATGCGATCCCCCTTACCTTTTTGCCGTTCTCGCACGTTTGGTTGAATTTCCATGGGCACACCTTGCCGATGCGAAACGTTTCGCAAAAATACACCCGCCCTCAGTCCTTCTCTGATACGATCGAGCTGTTTGAGCGCAGGGGAGGCGTATACACATAGCAGCATTAATATTGAAGATTTAATTGGTTGGCCTGAGCGGCTGAGTTGAACACAGGCACAGGGATTAACCCAGAAGCGCGAGCAGTAGCGCGCACTGCGTAGCAACAACACCACCGTCCACACTCATCCCTTATAATGCATCACGCCTGATTCGCCTCTGGCGCGAGGCGAGTGTCTTTACACTCAAAGATATCTCATGGAGCTGATAGAACTACTCACTCTAAACTCGGAGCCTGTAGATGGATTCCGGCAGTCAAGACGGCGTTTGTCATATTTTCTATGGCGGTTTTAGTTGTCTTTCGCAAGCCGCCTAGATCGTCATCACTCAAGCCAAAGAATTCAACGCCTCTGTCGAAATTCAACTTTGTGATGGTGAGCCTCCCTAAATTATGTTAAAAACACATTTTTACCTTTTTATAATTTCATTGACCCATGTCAGTCTTACTCACAACTACTCAGCCCTGTTAAAGGAGGGAGAACGAGACAAAGTTTTGAATTCAGAACTCGAAATGAGTACGAAAATCACCCCTTCAATAATTCGGGCGAGAAACTAGCTGGTCGTGAAATATAAAAGACAACCTCTCATTATTGATCCTTCAGTTTGTAGTTGGATGGAGGCTTCTGATGAAAAGGGAATTACGCCAACTTTCTGTCTCGTACCTTCCAAGAAGAATAGGCATCGCCCATCAAAATTCATCCTCAACTCATCTGGAACAGAAACATGGGAAGCGTTGAATAAGCTGTTGAACTGCGTTCATACTTTGCGGTAGCGTCCACCAGCGCTCTGAGCGTTCGGCAGCATTAGCGACGGGAAAGTATAGATGTCGATCTAGCGTCAAGCTACGCGTGCACACAGCGCCTCCCAGCGTCGGTGAGTAACAGTATGGGTGCTAAGAGGGTAGCAGACAGCCGGTACCTTCCTATGACAGTATACTCTTTCCCAGCAGTCTGCCACCCTCCTACCTCTGCATATCTAAAACCTATCTGCTGCACTCCTATCGCGCCATATTCTTTACCAAGTCCGCTACTCTCCTATCTTCCTATACCCCACCAGCAGCCTGCTACTCTCCTATCTCCCCGTACTCTCCTACCCAGGCGTTGAAAGACGCTATGAGACCCTGGCACACGCGCTGGCAGAGGCTAGATCGATTTTTATACTTTCCCAGTCGTTGACGCTGCCAGACGCTCGAAACGCTAGTGGACACTGCCGCGCACGGAACGAGAAACGCGGCCTTAAGTTAGTGTGAAGTAAATCCGAGAACTGTTGGCGCAGTTTCATAAGAAGAGTAGCCTCGTTCAACTGCCTGATGGAGAATAGTATTCACAGGAGGACGTGTAGTTCTTATTATGATCTCCAAAGTCCTTCCGGGATACGCAGTTCCTATCTGGAACATGTTCTGATTTCAGACAAGATAATAACACAAATAGCCTATATGTTCATGCACTTCACCTCTGCACCTGATCAGAGAGGCAGACTTCGTTAACACTGCAAGTGGTCTTCAAGAAGACTTCCGACACCGGGAGAGTGGGAGTCGATGTGAAACAGGAGCGAATTCGTTCTTAAAAGGTATAAACGTGGCTCGCGGAAATCACTTAACTAACAGAAATTGTTGAATGGCGATCTATAGTTGATGTCCTCGCAATCTGGATCCGATGTCTCGACGGCGTGAAATGAGCCAATCGTGGCTGCATTTCTACCCAACAGTGGTCCAGTTCAGGTGGAAGACACTTACATGGTGAAAACGTTAAATGTGAGTAATTTCACCCTTCTGACGCACATTTATCCAAGACTGCGACTGCTATCCAAACTGCTAATATAGCCCGAATAAGGCCGATTCCTTGCGATATCATCTATAACCAGCGCTTCGCCGATTGACGCTGAATAACTTCGCCGATAAAATAGAAAATGCTTGATGTGATTTGACTTGACTCCGCCAAAACAGAGTAGCAGAATCTGCGGATAGGTACAAACGTATAGCTCACTACCGCTCCACAGCACATTGTAACTCGACCCCCCTCTAGAAAACCTCACTTTAAACGCCGTCATGGGGATTAAACTACTTGACATAACGCAATATGAGAAAAGAACTCTGAGCTGCTGACGCCCCACCACTTTCTGGTGTGTGGTGGACAGTTCCAATTATTTGCTATTGCTGATAAAATAGGTTTGGAGTGAATTTTGCGGCTTTCAAACTTCTCAGGGACCTGATTAATGACAAAAACGTTATCCCCTCTCCCTCGATATTAGCAGTGTATTCCGTTCTGTAGTCTACACTCGATAGATCCTTAGCCGATAACAGAGAGTGCCAGGGAGCGAGTATCCTTGTATTGAGCACATGCTCTCTAGGTTTGGACAATGCATGCATTTTTGTATCATTTTCAATATAATGTAACGAGACTCCGAAAACAAAAAATTGCCTAAATGTTTAACACTCATGGATAGGGTCGCTTTGAATAATTTTTCCCCGCCTTCCTACTACTGAACACTTGCTCCCTGTTATTACATGCAGCCCATAACCCATCATTTTTTAATGCGGGCTCTGCCTTTCAAGTCCTATTGCGTTGCTACTATATGCGCATTCTCGTTGGCTTTTTATTGACAGTGTATTCTCTCCGAAAAATTGTCAGCCTATCTTGAAACTTGAAAACGAGAACAGTCTGTGACTGGTAAGCATGCTGTTGACTGTATAGTCAGATATGGCGATTTCGGCCATTCGACGCTGCGTATTGTGTGGAAGCCGGAAGGGGAATGGCAACCGATAGGGTGAAACTTCATCTGAATTAGAATGTGGTTATTAACTCGATCGCACTAGAATAATAAATATGTACCATATGTGCTGAGTTGTTGTCCGTCAGAGACCCGAACGCTCACCCTTTGAGGCGTCATCATAAACGTCCAAGTTTTGACTTCGACTGTCTGGCCTACATTTTGATGCATAATCCGCCCACTTTGTTATGCGAATTTGCGACGCGTTTATATATTTTTTTCAGCGGTTGCTGGTATTCTCACACTCCTGCACACAGCGAATGTACCCACATGAAGCTCGCATATTGCATCATGATGCCGAGGTTTATAGAAGGAATTTCGGCGAATTTCTGCGAAAATCTGCTCGTTTTTTCAAAGGCTCCTCCTTGATGGCTTCAGCGTAGTGGTCCGCCATTTCTAGTAGGCTTCACCAATTTTCCAATGCCTCGGTAGGTTTCGCAATGTTATCCAGCTTAGCAGAACAGAGTCTCACCGTCAGGCGGGGCGAAAATTCAGGCAAGGTTCGTTCTGAGCGGCTAGCGAAACTAGGAAACGCTGACTAGTAGTCACAGACTCGCCAACTTTAATTAGAAACGGTCGCCGAATAACCTAAATGAAAGTGCCAGAGCTTATGTGGGAAGGTTGTACGGTGAAGGAATTAAAGCGTCAGCGGTACATGCCTTTCACCAGTGACTCCCGCGCAAGTATCATGGAGTGGATGCATTCAATGTCTCTTGTAGAGTCATAGGGTTCATTCACTGGGAATCAGCCGACGGGAATCGTCCCAGCGCGCGGTCTTTTCGGTCTTTTACCTCTACAGTTTTTGAGACTAGAGGCCTGACGAATGTGTTTCCAACGTTTCCTTTGGCATTTTCTCTTCATGGACGATTCACTTGGCGAATTTTCTTCCATGTTTCTGCAGCATCACCTAGGCTTTTTATCACAGGCAGTTCCTTTAGGTATACAAAAGTGAGTAATCCTACCCAAAGGGGCGGAAAAATGATCTGTGTGCGCTAAGTTTCAAAATGGCTTAATTGCTCTCGCGAAAGACTTGGAAAGGAACTGAGGCTTTTGCCCAAATGACCGTTTCCTTTTTGGGATAGGGCTGCATTCTTCTTACTGTTGAGAAATGGCGGACTCTCTTTGATTGCATAATATGGGTCCTCTACTATGACGTTGCTGAGGCAAGCCAATGTACGTACAGGTCAGCTGCTTGAACCTCCGGGGACCGTAAAGTGGTCAGATTGTGCGGGTTCTTGCCCACCACAGGAATATGTACAATTCACCGTTCCCGGAGGGTACAACAGGGCATGATTGGTTTGCGGAAGGTCGATCCGGGACTGATCCGCGGAGACACGTGGATACGTCACTTGCCATACACGGCAGTCTCCGCCAGATCATATGGTTTTTATTCAATTCTGAGGGAAGGAAGCCCCGGAAGGATTTAACATCGACTGGAGATTTTTGAAAGCTGCGTTGAGAGGGTGACCTACTATCAAAAACAGGTTAAACAGCAGTTACTGTGTCTTAGAAACTTTCGCCCACGTTGTCTGCGTGCGCTCTGCGATTTAGAAGTTATATGGCGCCTTTCGCCAGAAAGAGTCTACTTTTAGCCGCTCCTGTTCTCGCGTGGCGTTGGATTTCTCTATAAGTTGGAATCACCTTGGAAAGGCTGTTAGTGGGAGGTCGTATGGGCCTATATTCTGCTGATGAATTGTTTTTCTTCAACATTTGCTTTCTGCTGGGCCAACCATCTTAGGTTGGTATCATCAAAATCAGTCAGGTCCTCGTCCTCCTGACATCGCCCCGATTATAAGCGCTGTTGCAAACTATGTGATCGTCCGGTGAGTTCCCGAATCATGAAAGAAAAGCTGATAAAGCGGCTTACTTGTCTTCGTACTGGTAACCTGTCCCGACATCCCGACGGTGAAGTCATCACGCGTGGCGCTTGCGTCCAACAAGGTCAAATCGATCATAATGTGTCGAAGACGATCCTATAGTGAAATGTAGTACATGCAGGCTAATACAATACGAAAACGAAAAAACTAGACATACCACATTAAATGCACGAGAAAGGTCCTGTACATTGATCGAAATGGGACGGCCACCTGAATGAGTGCTGGAATATTTATAGATGTACAAAGTTTTCCAGAAACAGTCCGACCAAGAAGCGCAGAAGCATGTGCAGACAGGAAGCAAGAACTCAAGCAAAAGTCATACGAGAGCAGCGAGGCCAGGGAAAGGCGATTGAAGGGTCATTGAGACATAGTGAGTTTTGAAGGCAAGTGGCACGATTAATAAGAGGTGTAGCATTGATATGCCTGGCAGGACAGAATTCCGCGATCCTGAGCAGGCGCTGCGTGTCGCCTTTTCCAGGAAATGTACCCTTATAAGGGTCTATCAAGCTACAACATACCGACCCGGACGCCCACCGCGCCCGCCCGCCCACAAATGGACGACCGTACCTGATGCTCGTATTGCTTCATTTGCTAAGTAAAATATGAAGCGAAGGGATTGATATGAAGCGGCTGCGGTGCTGCATGGATATACAGGGGGGGGGGCAAAAAAAGTCATTTCGACCGAGTCACATATCAGCAAAGTTTTCGCAGCCCAGACAGAGGACGTGGATACGAGTACCAGGGCGGAAGATACCCAAGATGTTCCTCTATAAGCAGGAGCTGGCTCTCGCCCATCACCTTCATGTACACCAAAATATGAAGTCATCTCCAGTCGCAGCCTGACTGGAGAAGACCTTTGGAATTCATGTCACCTCCAAACAGCTGCGAAACTTCTAGTATGGAGTCACCCATGGATAGCTACCTGGAGACCAGTACTCTCGATCTGGAAGACCTCCCATCGAGCAGCTCCGACAACGTCGCTACGGTCCAGGACATCATCTTCACCGCAGTCGCCAAGGCGCGGGTTGATGGTATGGACCGGACGTTCCTGGAATGGAAACCGATATTTTCTTCGTGGACCCCGGACTGAAGGTGAGCGCTGGCGGTTACATCGAGCAACTCGAGAAGAATATCCTCTCCACATGTCGTCGCCCGTACCTTCTTGGAAACTTTGTACTGCTACAGGATTGGGTGACACCACATGGAATCAAAGGGCGTTGGGAAAACTCTCGCCTACTTGGAATGGAAGGGGGCTGAGTACCTAAAGAAGATGGAATATCCAAGTAGGTCACCTGACCTGAATCCCCTCAATTACCCGGTTCGGGCGGAGTTCAATAGGGTGGTCTACGGTGGCGGAGAAATCGACTATCTCGCTGATCTCAGGCACCACATCGCGGTCGCGTGCCAGAATCTCTCGATGGCGCTCGTCCAGAAGGCTGTGGCGGAGTGTCATGATAGTATTTGATATGCTCTTTAATATGGTGGTAAAATGTCCGATAAATTTAATAAAGTGTAACTTATAGCGCCTCGAAAGTCGAGGAAGAAAAAAGTCTTTTTTTTGGTCCCCCTTGTATGAGTACATGCATGGTGCCGTATCTGCCGTAGCAGTGATTGGCACGATGCCAACAGAAAACTCGTCCAAAATTGCTTACTGAGTCGTGTAAAACAAAGGCTTTTGCAAGTTTTTGTCAACTCGCCTTTTTCGCCATTTTCCCACTATATAACATCCCTGCTATCATTTAAGAACGAGTCTCAAATTATGTTGCTATTTGCCTTTTAGTTTTGGCACATCGGCCGGATTTAACCACCAGTTGATGAAATTAGGAAAAATTGTAATTTATCTAAATGTGGGTGACGATGTCCTGAAGAAATGTGGAAATAGGTTGTGGAGCGTGACCATCTTGTGGTCTATAAGTATCCACAGTTGACCAAGACAGGTGCATTTTAGCCTTTCAAAGCCTTTTCAATCTTTTCTAGCCTTGCAAACCCCACGACCATTTGCTATCACAGATATTGGATCAGGGGTTTGCATATAGACGACAAGGTGCTGAGTAACTCGATAGTGAAGAAAAAAAAGCACAAAAAACATGCCACCTGCCCTAGATAGAACCCCATTTTGATCCCATTTGTACGCGCCCAGTGAACTCTATCTCCGACCCTACGCCTTCATCTGCACAGCTGTTTACCCGATAAGAATTCTAGAAACATACGAGTGACGATTTTCATGCTTTTTCCGCCAAGCAGCTTCGTTTTCCCACTGAAAGGCGAGCCTTGGAGGCGGAGTCTGGGGGCGGAGTCACTAAAAAAGGAGGCGTCACTGGACCTATATTGCGCTATAGCGCCCTCCCATTGCAATTTTTTTGCCATGAAATCGGTACAAGGTTTTTGACGTGGACAACACTACCTTCCCGACGCCAGTTTTCAACTTCTAAAGCTATTCGCAGAGCGCGCCGTTAAAGTAGGAAGAATGTTGCGGTTCAGTGGCAATGCCTAGTATGATGAGAGAGAATTAGCCGAGGAGAGCGGGATCTGTATACATAAAAACAATAAAAAACAATAAAAGATATTGAAGGGCAAGGATTTTTGTGGAGTTCAGACTAGCGAGCTTTGAACCTTGAAATCATCCGTGTTACGGTTTACGTAATAGTGCAAGTGCAGAGAAACGAAAGGAAGATAGAAAAGGCGAGTCTTCATGAAGCATCATCACCGCGAGTCATCTGTGCGAAGCTGCAAGTCTGTTACTTACCTCCGATGCTCGGCAGTGGCCGCGCTGCACTGGATGACGGCTTCTTTTCAGTCTCCTCAATATCATCGTAATAGTCAGGGGCCCGCTTTACACGCACTCTCCGACCCCTCCAAGTAGAGCCTAGGGTACATTTATATGTACGACAGAAACTTAAAAGGAATGTGAAAATAGAAGGAAAGGGTCTTACTTGGAGTTGAACTTCTGGCGCTGGTTCCACTCTGAAATGATGCTCATTTCTTTCTGCTTTATTAAGTTTCACAAAACGAAGTATTCCGTTGTGCGAGAATTATGCACATATGATCATCTTATCGCTGAGTCGCGGTAGGCGTGGCTGCGTAACTCACTTAAACGTGGCTGACGGTGAGATGGGTTGTTCTTAAGCGTCTTCATTGAAGGCTCTCTTAGCGACAGCTAGCATTCTTCACATGTGTAAGGAGTGCAGGTCAGCAACCGCATAGAGTGTAAGCCTGCTGTAGGTCGAACATTCGTGACAAGATCACTTGAGATGTGCGTGAGTCTCCACCCACTGGAGTTGACGGCCGCCCATGACTGCTGAACGTCTTTCTCGTGTTCAGTGACTTTAACTTTGTGACAGCGTATTCCCTTGCCAGCCCATTATCTGAATCTCTACTCACGAGCTTAGTGCCTCTCCGACTCGTCCAAGAGCGCACCATCTAGGGAATTTTCTGCACTTTCAATTCTGCCTTTTCCCCGGGTCTATTAAGAAGGACTTATTTATATACACTCCGCTACTGGCCATGGCTTGCAGTTATGAAATTTGCCTCTAGGCGCGAATTTTTAGCTTATTGGAGCGCCCGCTTCAAAACCTTTACGCCAGAACAAACGAGACTGATGAGTTGAGGAGTTGTATCCCCGATCCATCGTGTCTTCGTCATCGAGTCTATTCTTTGATGCCTAGTGTCGTTCCGCCGACACTTTACAAAGATCAGGGTTAACTGCTAATCAAATGACCTTGTTTCGGACCGCTTGTGAGGATTTTTTTCTTTTTCCTCTCCGCCGAATGAGTACTTATCTCTTACACTTACAAGTTCGAGTCAGTCCACCCACATCCTATCATCGAGTGTGACTTTAAGAAATCGCATCGTAAGAAGGTGAAACGTAAACACTCACAACGAAGAAGGTTTTGAACAGTGATCGAGCAGAGACTCGTGTCGGCAATTTAGCGATACGGTCAGAGAAGTGTTGTTGAGTGAGGCGGTAGATATTTTCGCATATGGACTCCTGGATCTGGGTCCTTGACGACGCTGACATCGCATCCTGAAAACATGTCAAGATTCTAAAATCCTAGAGCTCGTAACTGGTGTTCCACTGGTTACAGATGAAACGAATTAACGCGCATTAGTTCACGGTTTACCGTTACGCCCAGTCATTGTCAAAAAATTGAAATATTAGGAGTGCTAAAAAAGTCCTTGCACACTTTGTTCTTAAAGGAGAGTTTATTTATTTATTTTTTGAATACGACGCGAAGGTGTGCCACATCGCAGGAAAATATTGAAATAGTAGAAATGGCACAGTGGAAATATTGAAAACAAAGAAAAAGGAAAACAAACAAAAATAGGGAAGAAAACAGTGGGAACAAGACGGACGGATAGGCTACGAGTCGAAGTTTTAAGAAATAAGCACCGGTATTTCTATTGTTGATAGGACGATAACGTCATTTCCCTTCCAATATGCGAACCTGCCAAAGTCCTCGTTCCTCCGTCACCAACGCATCTCCGTCCACAACGCAGAGAGATGACACCAGTACTTGGGCGTGATGACAACTCGTTGTTGGGGAATATTATTATGTTTTATTTCTGACTACTAGAGAGCGTTCTCTAGGTTTTTGCGGAAGGATATTTGTAACTTCGTGGGAGTTTCCAGAGCTCGGAGGTTCCGTGAACGTCAAGAATACTTTTCGACCTATTTTGGGGTATTCCTGTTTGGTCCTTTTGTCGTTGTTGAGGGAGCCAACACCTGCGCTGTCTTCAGGATGGATGTAGCTTGCCATGCCACAGTGACCCTTTGGTATCACCTCTTGCAAGCTGGAGTTGTGCTTAGTTATTGCTTTTCATACATTCTGGAAGGACTTTTCATGAGATTCTGTGGTTGGTAGCGAGAGCTGGAATCCGTGCGTAGGCCATGCACATAACCTTCACCTTCTTCAATAGTGGAGTCGAGCTATGTGAAAAGGGGGCACTCGTCTCTCTTATCGAAAGCGATTAGTAGACTTTTGTTCAGTGAAAGAGAACTTGGTCCGAAATTTCCGTTAAAGTGTTCCGAGACTTTTTCAATCAATACATAAAGTCCTGTTCGCTGCGGATGCTGAGCGCTTTAATGCTCTAGGTTTGCAGCGCCACCAGCCCATCCTCCACCAGTTGTTGAAGAGGATAAGCGACAACAATTGCTGGTAAACGACTGATACCAACGATGTCGAGTCCGCTTTTTTTTGGGGGGAGGGGGATGGTAAGACCCCTTTCCCCTGTTTTCCTCCTCATCGAGCTCTCGAGCAGGGGGCGGGGGTAGGAAGCGAGGAAAGTACGCCCCCATCCTCTCTACTATTTATTAGATTTCCCCACTTTCTAGAAGTTTTTCACTTATACCGGAACTTCCCGCAAACTTTCCTACTTTTACCCGAAAATTTTGCCCTCTACTGTCGAGCGCGGTGGAGAGTTATATAGGGCACA